TAAACTAATAATAATGATTCGTTAAGCACAATTTAAATTTAACTATTATAGGGAAAAATGGTATACTGAAATGAAAGCAACATTCTACAAAATCATTGTAATGTAAAACTAATACACTCAAAAACATTAATCTAATAAAACTAAAGAGGTTTTTTCCTTTATAACTGGATTTTCCTATCCAAGAATTCCACATTTCTCTCCTTGCAGTTCTCTTCTCCAAAGGAGCCATTTTCATCCCTGACATGAATTTTATGAAATAACATATGTCTAATCTAACAACAAGAATAAAAAAGTTTGTAGTTAACAATACAAAATTCTAGATCTTAAATTTGAAAATGACTTACTGAAAAATTACTAAAAGGATTGTTAAAGAAACAATGAAGTGACAAAAGAATTCTCACTTTCGTTTTTGGTCATACGAAGGCAAATAGCCAGACGTTTTATTAGCAAAAGTTAATTTTGAGAAAATTGGTTAAGTGCCACGGTTTTAACTAAAATTGCATTACAAAAAGGAATTAAACATATTCATTCATAATAACGGTCTATTATCGAAGTCTACAAGTTATAATTGTTCCCGTTTAATAAAACTATGAAAAACCTGAAACAACGTGTTTGCATCTCGTTTTTTCACATTCTCCAGCAAACTTTTTTGGTGCATTTTGTAACTGATAAAAAATTGAAACAGACGTATTTTTTTTCAGTTCTTTCCAAGCTGTTTTATAAACTTCATCTCTGGGATCAGTTGTTCAAGATTGAATAAATGTCTATTTGCAATTTTTCGATTGGTCAACAGATAAATCACCCATTTTTGCATAAAATATTTGTAAACAAAAAAGCATTAAACAAATAGGCTAAATAATGCAAATTTTTCCGATTGAAATAATATATCCAAATAGCTAAACTACCATTAGCTATGCACGTTCCAGCTATATACAAGCGGGAAAAATGTCTGGAAAATGCAGAACCGCTTTTTTTCTGGCACAGCAGGCGGCCTAAATGCTTGGATGGTAAATCATCTTGACTGTATAAAAATAATGTACTCTCTATGAGTTTTACGTAAATAATGGGATCAAAGGCAAGTTACGCAACAGCTACGATAGATTCCTCATTCGAATACATACATTAACGAGATTTTCACTAATATTTTAATGAAGCAGTTGCGAAGAATAACAAAGAAAAAAATAGTTAAGGGCAAGTAACGAACATTGAGTATTTTCAAACGTTAAATAAAACTTTAGTGGTACATTTATTTATAAGTATTTTTTATAATGCCAAATACATATCTAATCGAATCAAATAGTGTTGAAGATAGTTTAAACAAAATTCTAAATTTAATTTATTTAATAGATGTGTAAAAAAATTGATATTAAATTGTTCGCAAAGCTATTATTTTTGCTCCATGAGGACAAGATCAAAATCCTAGCACAGTAATTATGAAGTGGATTATAAATAACCGCACGATATTCACGTCTTCTCCTAATCCATGCCAAAAAAGAAAATGCGGAAATCTTACTTGGGTAAATTTTTCGCGCTCATAAACTTTGTTCTAAATCCGTTTATAAAGAAAGGTGTTCTATTTTAGGTAGACCTGCGTAAATTTAGATGTTGCGCTGTCATGCCTCAAATTTAATTTCAGAAACGACGTATTTCACTTTGTTTTAGTTTCAATTTGGGTTACGTATTTAAACTTTTACTGCGAACCTTTATGTATAAGTTTATTTGGCGATTGATTGTTATTACCATCAAACATTTTCCAATGTGAACAATAAACACACACGTGCTGAAGTGCTAAGAAAATTTATTTCGAAATGAAAAAATCCGAACATATTAGCAGTATTAAATACAGATATGGACAAAGTACAGGAACGACGTTGGAACTGATAAACCATCCGCATCATCGAATCCGCTTTACAGTAGACTTTCATTTTCCTTGCTGAACAACACCAGAAATGTACTTCTATTAATAGTGAAAGAAACGCATTTTGGTCTGTTTTTTAATTAAATTACTTTCATTTATTCCTACACATTGCAGCTGCTTTAGAGCATCTGGTGTCACATATGAATATTTTGTGTAAAACAAATTATTCTGCTTTTTTGAGTTTTTGTTCTTTACTCTTCTATTATCCTAAAAACCCAAACACTTTGCTTGTTTCTCACAGCAAAAGAAAAAACTCAAATGCTAACACCTAGGAGATAAACGCCAATTTATGAAACCACAAAACGACTTGTTTTATATTCTCAATACGTCTGAAACGTTTCAAATTAAAAAAATAATTGCATACAAATCGAAGGCAATACCAGAAGTAGAAGAACAAAAGCTTTTGTTCTGATGGAAATGAAACAAATTAAATATTTCGTACAAGTACATACTTTTGGCTATTTTAAAGGAGTGAAAGTAAAGGTTTTTTTAAATTTATCTTTGGCAGGTTAAGCCTAGCTGATGAGCACTAGTAGGTTTTACCGTGCATTGCTGACTAAATAGTTAGGCCACCAATAAGTTTAAAATATACGAAATTTAACTTTTAGACTGGTTCGTCTCTAAGTACGGTGAACAGTTATTTATCAAAAATGGTGTTCTCATATAAGATGCTATAGTGTGAATGTTGCAAACAGAAAATAAATATTGCCTATAAAACCTAACAAGTGCCGATAATGTTTACTGAAGCTGCCACTTAATCCTCTTTCTGTAAACTACCGAAAAGTTTACCGTTTATTTTTCCTTTTTTTATTGGTTTTGGTTCCGAGCCAAAAAATTCAATTTATAGAAAACGACTCGCACATGACCCTGAAAATATCTACGCCAAACGCGTGAATGTTTACTGAACTGGATTTCTTCCCATATTTAGTCATACGGTATAAAAACATCGAAAAACTCACTTGTAGATCAGTATTTGTTGCTAAACGTACTGCTTTATACGCGCTGGGTTCCTAAAGTTCTATTCTAAATCTGAAGCTGCTTCAACACAGAAAGCGAATAATATTTTTTTACCAATTAAATGTTGGCTATTTCTTTATAAGTTAATTCCTAAAATTTTTCAAAAGAAAAATTAGGTATTTATACAAACAAATTTTTCGAACATAACACTCTACTTTTTATTTATTTAAATAATTTTGTTTTGGTTTAGTTTCACGACAATTAAAACTCAGACAGGTATTGCTTTTGGAGTTTAGCCGGCTTTTTTCCTCATCGTAGGTATTTTGAACACCCTCTATATGACCTTGCATCTAATGGAAGCACACAAACTGCTTCATGCTTTGTAAAATAATATTTTTTGTGAATTGATTACTTAATACGATATTTTAGGCAGATCTCCAGTTTGCAAAATTTCTAATGTAAATTGAATTTTTTTGAAATGCAATTGGTAAAAAATGTAAAAATATTTTTATTTGCCAATGGCTTCACTCTCACGTAGAATTGGAAAATGAGATTTTGCATTAAAAAACCAATGTTCAGGTTTTGCAAACAAAAACTTCGAACACGTACTTACTTCGTGACCTGGTTCGAAACCGAGTAATCCAAGCACCGGAATGGAACAACACAATATCGAAATTTCAGTTTTTCGAACAAATCAGCCAATTAAGTTTTTTTGCGCGAAAGTTCAGAATTGGTGGTGCCCAAGGTGTTAGAAAATGCGGTGTTCACTGCACAAGATTTTAAAGAACACAATTTGAGAAGCGAAGTCAGGACGGTTCTGCTAAGCGTCTTGGCGGTTGACGTCACGGCGTCCAAATTTAGCGTCTTTATACTGTAATTCTCGGTAGAAGATGTTCGCTTTCTCTGTTTGAAGTAGCGGGCTTTTTAGATTTTTAGAAATAAATCGGTGCGAGTTAAAAGCTGAAAAATCATTTTTGCAGTTTGGCGACTTAATCTTTTGTTATTTTGGTCGCCTTTTTCGTTCTATATTAATGCCAGAACAAGGATTTTGTATGGCGTTATTTTAATGAAGCACTTAGAGAGGTCAAAAAGCTTTGGACGTTGTTCCTAATAAAGAGTCCGTATTGAGTGACTCAATGCCGAACGAAGCTTAGAATTAGTTTATTGTCCGGTTGTTTGAAGTAGAGGAAACTTTCGAGTTTTTAAATGTAGTAGTTATTCGATGTTGATCGTTGAAGATTTTTTATTTATTCAATACTTTCCGCAAGTTGTGACAAAATAAATCGGGTTTTCTAAGAAATGATCAAAAAAGGGGGTATTTTAAAAAAAGAATCCAAAACTAAATTTATCAGTTTTATAAAATCTACTAAAAACTTTTAGATCAGGCGAATCAAGTTTGTATATTATTAAATTGAGTTTAATGTATTGCATGTATCAACAAGAAGGCTTGATTTTAATAAATCTATATGTTTCAATTTGTAAAAAGTATGACTACGCCCAAAAAATTTGAACGTTTTTTGGAACCCATTATATCAGTTCTCCTATTTCATTTTTTTTAAATATTAATCTGAAAAGAGAGAAGAGTACATCCTCTAATAAGAAATAAAAGAATTTATAAGGTAACTCAAAAACGGTAAAGCTTGATGTAATAAATGCCTTAAAATGTATATAAATAATTTACTCTATTTAACAAACATAACGATATACATATTAACACTAATGCGTTCTGAACTTGATGCGCAATGAATATATCACAAATTTAGCTAGACGCGGTTTTACCCTTCCTGATGTTGATCAACAGTATTTCATATAGCTCAAACATGGCATAAAAAAATGGCTTATGTATCATGTAAAAGCTTAAAAGCGGTGTATACAAAAAAAATTAAAATAAAACTTAAAAAAAGAAGGCAACAATCGCAAGCATTGCAAGGCAACACCACGGAAGTTAAACGACATTAAACACAAAACTTAAAAATGTATCTGTACTGACAGAATCGCTTGACTTAAGCTGGGAAAGATTTGATGAATTTATGAGCAAGAAAACTAAACCGCAATCCTGTTTTTCACTTATTTACTAATTTGCATTAATACTTTCAAATCTCAAAGACTTTATTGGAACACTTACCGTGATAGTTGTGGTTATTTTTGTCGATCTTCTGACACTGGAAGTTGGAGAAGACGTTGAGGATTTTGCAGTTGAAGATTTAGCACATCCCTCCATTCCAGACAATATTACCTGTGCTCCTGAAAATTATAAAACACTTTTAGTTTAACGATTCATTAAGCCTGTTCACTTGCTGCTAATAACTTTATAAGCTAAATATTGGTGCCGATTGAAATGTATAATTTAAAAAAACTTTACACATCTTTCGCATTTACATTCTAAAACGTTATATCGAAAATGAAAAAAAAAGAACAAAAATGTCAAACAAATGTTGTGAACCCAGTTTGAAAAGATTCCACCAAGTTGTTTACAGAAATAGATAATCCAAAGTTGGTTGGTTGGATTGCTAATCAAAGTAGGAAAAAAATACTTTGCACAATATAGAAGTTTGAGTTACGATATATTAAACTTATTTTAAATAATAACGATCACATACTAATTCTGAAAACGTTAAATTCAATAAATTCTTTCGATTGAAGTAAGACATTTTGCAACGAACTGAGAATTTATAACCAAGCAACCTAGAGACCAAAAATTGGAAATCGTGTTAAAGTTTTATTGATTCATAAACTATTTTTTTGCTTCTGTGGTGGTTCCCTTCGAAAGATAATTCATTTAGCAATATTTTATTATTCTTAGGAAAACACGAACATTATAATAAAATCCTACATCGGGTTGGCCTAAAATCCTACCTTTGAAACACCGTTTTTTACAAGCAGGCAAAATAAGAAATAATATTTTTATCAGCCAAAAAAATTATGATCGCTCATAATAGTTTTGCAGAAAATTATCTATGTTTATTTTAAAATATCTTTAAATCCTAATCTTAGAAGATTGGGTATATCGACATATTTCATTCCACATTACAGAAATGACATTAGCAGAGTCTTCATAAGTAAACAAATTTTTGGTTTCTGAATAGGCGATCTGCAAGCAATAAGTTTTGTTATCTTGCTATCTGCAAACTTCATTCTGGACATAAAAAATGTACAGCTCTTAAGCGGCAGCACTTAAATCCAATGATTGGTTATCATAAAACACTTTTTCCGAAAAATGTTCTAGAATACAGATTATTCAGATGTTCAAAAATTTTAAGAATATAATATGAATATTATAATATAACGCTGTGTTCGTTTCGTATGGGAAAATGCTTAGGTATACAAAACATTTTCCATACAATCTAATTATTTCAATTCTTTACTAACAAATCAAAGTTCCACTGTCCATGAACAAACCATTAATTATCTCTCGGGAATTCCGGCTTTTGCACTTTCTAAATAT